GCCATACTCAGGGAGAGGACTCAGGCTGTACTTTGTTTGATGGGTCCTCTGAATTACCAGAAAAGCCAAGCCCCCGGCAGGTGGGGAATTAATACTCTTCAGAGAGAGTGCCCGCTTATTGTCAGGAAGGGAGTTTCACCTGGTAGCTAGTAGTAGATCCTGATGGTGCTTCTCACATAGCTCCACTAGCAGCTCAAGGAACTGGATTGTAGCCCCAAAGCTCTGTGCAGCCTTGGGGTATGGAAATGGTCTCATTTCCCTAATCATAGGTGCCTAATCATGGGGCAGCCTAGAGATGTGTGGCTCAAGGAAGTTTTTATTAATATGGTGGCAAGAGGTCCCATTGTGCAAGGCTGCCTCCTGACTCAAAGGTCCTGGCAGTACTCAGGAGTTACAGAGAGGAGCACCTGCAAGGTTATTGCCGTGGGCTCCTGACAAGTGGCCAGGAAAGCAGTGTGGGGTGGGCACAAGGGAAAGGATGCTCTGGGGAGTTAACATACTGGGCAGAAATGCCAAAGACAGGCTAGGACTAGATGCCATGTGCATCCTTCCCTACCTCCTAGGCCAGGGGGTGTCAACTGGGGGTACACGTACCCCTGGAGGTACTTGGACTGGTCCTAGGGGGTACATGCAGGCGGGCAGGGATGGAGCACTGCCATCTCCCAGGAGCAGCGCTGGGGTGGGGTGAGGGCAGTGGGGCAGGGAAGCGTGCACATGGCGGTACCACCACACATCAGCCCGGTGAGCTTCCCCAGCCTGCCCTGACCCTGCTCCTGTGAGGTGGCAGTGCTCTGTCCCTTCCCACCCGCACACCGTCCTTGTCTCCCCGCTCTGTGTCCGGCCACGCACCACACTCCCACCCTCCGCCCCCGCCCCACCCCCTGGCATTTGGACATGCACTACCTCCCCCGCCCCTCTGGCATTTGGGTGCATGCTACCTCTCTCCCCCTCACCACTCAGCATCTGGCCACCAGGGCTACTTAGACTAAAAAAGGTTGAAAACCCATCCTCGGAAGATGAGATTCCTCCTCACTCCCACCTGCCTCCATCCGTAATTGAATCTTTCCCCTGCATGAGCGAGAGGGCCTGGCCTAGAGGCAGCTGGATTTGACCCCCTTCCCTGGTGCCCCACCACTACAGTATTCAGTCTCCAGACTGGAGTCTTTGTGGGAGGCCAGAGGAGCTGTCAGCATTATGGTGGATCTGTTCCCTCTGTGTGCCTGTGAGAGATAGGGAACTGCACAGCAAAACAGAGGTTTGGTTGTAACATGCACTAGTGTGCCTGGACTGGCTTGTTCTAGTTGGCCCAGCAGGCAGTAGCAGTGAAGATACAGGGTGACTGTCTGTAGCATGGGCCAGTACCCTGAGAACAAGCCTTCTACGGACTTTCTCTGGTTGCTAACACCTGCTGTGGCCTGTGTGTTGCCTCCATATCTTTGGCTGGGGAAGCTAGCACAGGTGTGCAAGCATGTCCTGCAGTCTCAGCAATTAACTCTTTCAGTGCCACAGCTGATTGCAGGACTTCCCAACAACTGTGGGTTGCCCTACGTGCCAGCTGGGGCAGCAGCACTTGAACAGTTAACACCTTTTGCCCTGTATAATGCATGTGCATGCTGGGAGGTGCCCTGTACAGACTGCCCCAGCACTGAATTATTTCCTCTCCCCTCTGAAGAACATTCTCCTTTGCCACGTGCTGAGACCTTAGCCCCAGGCAAGATGGGCCCCAGGGCTGGTCCCATCTGGCAAATCCAGTTGCAATTTCCCAGCCTGCCCTGTGCTACCTATCCTGTTTGGCAGAACTACCCTGCAGCTTCTATGATGAAGTTCTCCTCCTTCTGCCCCTCAAGCCAAAGCCACTGCTACTTGTAATTCAGAGACACTGCCTAGGTAGAAGAGTTGGGAATTGGGAGATGATCCCTTATTTGCAGGGTCATTAAAGACGAGGGGACTACAGAGGCTTGCCTATTGCTCCACAATAAAAAGTTGTTCTTTAGTTCTTCTCATTTATGTATGCCTGTATTTATTGAACCCTATGATCCCTACAGCTTTAGCTCAGGGGGGAGCTCCCCAGCTGTTAGCAGCAGAGGATCAATGAAAGCCCTTTGAGCACCTTGGTGGTTCCTGTTGAGAGATATCTAGGCTAGCCAGTTCATGACACTGTGGCTGATATATTAAGCCCTGATGCCCAATGGTAGGTGCCTGTATCCTCAGGTACACAACACCTCCTAGATCAACTTCACCTGAATTTCATGAAGTACCTGGCCAAGTTTATTCTGTTGTCTGCCCATGGAAGTAGAAACCTCAGCATAGGACTCCATCTTTCACAGTGCTGGCACCTGGACCTCAGAGGCTAGCAGACTGGTAGATCTGCTTCCACCAGAGCCTTTGTAATGTCCCACAACAGGAGACCTCTCTGCACAAGGCCTGATAGCTCTTGACTTATTTACAGGCACAGTGATAGCTCTTGACATGTGTACAGGCAGAAGCACCATGGGATGAGGGAGGGAGCTGGTATTGCTCTAGTTTGAGGTGATAAAGGATGCTTCAGGGGGATGAGGACAAACAGTTTAGAGAAGTGTAAAGTGTAAAGAGTCTGGCACTTGGAGGGGATCAGTTTGCCTATAGGGCCTAGCAGAGAGGGACTCAGCATTTGGGTGCGGTCTTGGCATCCATGGAGATGACAAGGGATGGGGATCAGCAATTGGAAGTGGGCCAGGGCATTTGTGAGGGGGACATAGAGGAGGGGTTGACTGGGGGTGGGGAGAGCAAGGAGGTGCTGGGGAGACTTGATGCTGGCAGGGTAGAATCCAGCTCCAGGGCTGTCTAAGCTCTCCATCCCCCACTTTCCCTCTGCCCCATATCATGCATTCATCTCCCCGGCAGGTCCTGTCACTGGGTGCTGACGTCCTCCCGGAGTACAAGCTGCAGGCTCCACGGATCCATCGATGGACCATCCTGCATTACAGCCCCTTCAAGGCTGTATGGGACTGGCTGATCCTGCTGCTGGTCATCTACACAGCTGTCTTCACGCCCTACTCAGCTGCCTTCCTGCTCAATGAGGAGCAGGAGGAAAAGCGTTGGGACTGTGGCTACTCGTGTGACCCCCTCAACATCATCGACCTCATTGTGGACATTATGTTCATCATTGACATCATCATCAATTTTCGCACCACCTATGTCAATGTCAATGACGAGGTGGTGAGTCATCCTGCCAAGATTGCAATCCACTACTTCAAGGGCTGGTTCCTCATTGATATGGTGGCTGCCATCCCCTTTGACCTTCTCATCTTCCGCTCTGGCTCGGATGAGGTGAGTCGGGGGCAGCCATGGGAGAGATCTGAAACGGGGCATAGAAATCTGGGCCTGGCCCTCAGAATGTAGGGCAGGAGGGATGGATGCATGGATGGGTGAGTGGAGGGGTGAGTGCAAGAATTTGGGCAGATGGATGGGTGGGTGAGTGTGGCAGTGGATGGGCATGGGAGGGTTAAATGGATGGATGGATATATAGACAGACAGACATCTTTTCTGGGATCCTTGTTGGGTAACAACCCACCAGACTGTAGTTATAGCAGTGATTATGACTAGTCCTACAAAAAGTGGTATTTTGCAGGGCCTTCCTTGACATTAGGGTGTGGCTGCTGCTGTGGGGGACAGCAGGAGGCAAGTTATAGGGCTAGGCTAGTGATCAGCCCTGTGTATCCTGGAGATGGGTGCTAGATAACATGGATCTAGTATGGCAGTTCCAAAAATCCTAAAAATGTGTATGAATACCCAAGGAACACTTCTATTATTATTTCTTTATATTATGGCAACGTAGAAGCTCTGCCTGAGATAGGAGCCCTGCAGTGTCAGGCAGTTTACAAACATATGGCAAGAGATGACTCCTGTCCCAGTCTCAATGGACAAATGGCACAAGGGAAAATTACCTGCCCTGGGTCATTTGGGAGTCCAGAGATATAGCCAGAAGAAACATGCACATTTCTTGAGCACTAGATTTTTGTCCTGTTCACTGGACCACATTTTCTTTGCTGGGAGATCTGATAAATCAGTCTGTAATCTCAGGGAATGGAGTTGCTTTCTAAGCCTCTTGGTGTACTGTCCTGTTCCCCTGATGCTGCGTTTTGAGTCTACCATTGAATCTGTATCACCTTGGGCACATCCCTCTGCCTGCCTTCCTTTCCCCCTGGGAAGGCTTGGATGAAAGAAGCTACAGATTGTGCCAACTATGTGGCTGCTCTTCTGTTATTCTGACTGGAGATTTGTTACCTGTTCGTTACAGCAGACTCTCTTTTCAGAAGGATGAGCCTGCCCCAGCAGCAGGGGTAGAACAGAGCAGGAGTTGGCTGGAATTGGTAGGATTCTGTGGTCTGGATGGTTCTTTAATTATAGAGACATGTTAGTCTGAATCAGTCAAATAGAAGACAGGGTATTTGCACCTTATAGACTAACCAAAGTATGCGTATATGTATATGTGTTTGTAGCATAAGATTTTGTGAGCTGAAGTTCACTTCATCAGATGACTACAGATGAAGGATATACATATACATACTATACACACACACACACACACATAAAAAATCTTATGTATCCCTTTCTCATGAGTGCGTGTGCGCGCGCGCGCACACACACACACCCACACTTTGGTTAGTTTATAAGCTGCAAATCTGCCCTGCCTTCTTTTTAACTATAAGCAATAATGCTAACACTTAGTACCTCCTTAGTCACATGAGGCACCTATACACATGCTCCTGGGTTGTGGGGAGGGGGAGCATTTTAATTAGAGCAGCTTTTGGGAGCTGCTCTAATTAAAACACCCGCAGTGTCTTATGTATTTGGAGTCCCATGCTTCAAAATGGCAGCAGGGGCATTTTAACTAAAGCGCATTGGAGGAGCTTTAGTTAACACCCCTCATGACCATTTTGAAACGTGGGGCACTGACTACATGTGCCGCTGCAGCATGCTGGAGTGTTCCAGTTAGAACGCCTGCACACCCCTGCAATGGGCGCAGGTTTTGCAGGCAGGGGCGTACAGGGAGCGGATCACAGCTCTGCCCCAGGTCCCAGCCCCACGCTGTCACCACCCCAGGATCCCAGCCCCGGTCCCAGCCCTGGCCCTGGCGGCAGCTCTCTGCCTGATCAGCTATGCATCCTGCTCAGGTGGTTCCTGGCCAGTCTCCATGGAGACCCCAGGATCACGGGGTAGAGTCCCGGTTCTGTGGGCAAGGATGTGCAGGGCCAGGGCCTGCGGCAGAACTGTGATCTGCTGTCTGCATGCCCCTGCCCTGTGCAGGATATGTAGGGGGATGCCTGGTCACTAGGCCTGGGAGCCAGCCGGGGGTGAGGGCAGGGCGGTGGGGCAGGAGATGTGTCCAGCAGAGTTCACTTGGGTGGTGCAGTCTGCAGCTGCCCCCACAGGACTCCTCATGGGGCTGAGCCCTGCCCACAGCAGCCCACACCACAGTCCCAACCACATCTGCCAGTCTAGTCCTGGCCAGTGAAGCAGCTCTGCCAGTAAGCTGCATGCAAGTGCAGCTGCAACCACTCAGGTGCTGCTCAGTTACTCTCATCTCCAGCAGCTCCTGCTCTTCCCTCTGCTGCACTGCTCTAGATGGGGAGAAAGCTTCAGCTGGGCAGCTCCTGCCCCATGTGTGGGGCTCTGGCTCTAGCTTCCAGCTGTGATCCACCCACTTGGCCTGCGTCAGGTGGCTACTCATTGCACTGCATGGGCAAAGTGGATGCAAGGCAGCCGGGAGCTGGAGCTGGAGCTGGAGCCAGAGCCCTGCATGCTGGGGCAGGAGCTGCTCAACTGAAGCTTCCTCCCCACCTGGAGCAATGCAGCAGGGGCAGGAGCAAGAGACAGAGCCACTGCTGGAGGTGAGAGGAGCTGAGCAGCACTTGGGAGGCTACAGCCCCACTGGGAACAGCCCTGATGGTAATCTGTGCACGTTGTCCAAGACTGGAGCCAGCAGGTGCAGGCAGGAGCACAGCGCTGGCTGCCCAGGCAGGGCTCAGCCACATGTGGAGCACCATGGGGGCAGCTGCAGGCTGGATCCAATCAGTTGGCAGGCCGGATTTGGCCCACGGGCTGTATCTTACCCACTCTTGCCTTAGAGGTATGAATAAAAACCAGGAGTCCTGGCTCCTTGTTCCCAACTCTGATGATAGCCCCTCCTCTGAGTTTCTCCCGTGCTACCCTTCAGTGGCTAATTCCCACTTCCTTTCTGCAGACAACCACCCTCATTGGGCTGCTGAAGACGGCACGACTGCTGCGCCTGGTGCGCGTGGCCCGCAAGCTGGACCGCTACTCAGAATATGGGGCAGCCGTGCTCTTCCTGCTCATGTGCACCTTTGCCCTCATTGCCCACTGGCTGGCCTGCATCTGGTATGCTATTGGCAATGTGGAGCGGCCCTACATGGAGCACAAGATCGGCTGGCTGGACAACCTGGGTGACCAGATCGGCAAGCGCTACAATGACAGTGACCTCTCATCTGGCCCCTCCATCAAGGACAAGTACGTCACTGCCCTCTACTTCACCTTCAGCAGTCTCACCAGCGTCGGCTTCGGCAACGTCTCCCCCAACACCAATTCTGAGAAGATCTTCTCCATCTGTGTCATGCTTATCGGCTGTGAGTTTCTGACTCTGCCTCCCTGCTGGGGCCCTGCTCACCCTCTGGGGAGGCAACATGTAGCCAGGGGCCAAAGGGGCTGGTTTGGGCAGAGAAGCAGATTAGCCCATACTGTAAATGTGAGCAAGGTGGGGAAAGAGTCTTTGTGGCCCCAGTGCCTGTGTGGCCTAGTGCAGGCATGGTCTAAGCTGCACCTGGTAGATTTATCCATCTGGGAGCCTGTGCCTCTTCAGTGCTGGGAATCCAGTGCAGCTGGGGAGACTCCCATGAAGGCTGGGGAGACAGGTTTTGGAAAGTGACCTGTTTCCAGATGCACCAGACTCTGAGCCTTGTTGCATGGGACTCTTAGCCCATGTTCAAGTTAGAACATAGTAAAGTGAGACTGTGTTCTGAACAGTCACACTGTCATGCTTACTGCAATCGGAATAATATGTGCAGCTCTCATGCATCATGAGCTGTGTATGTTTTATTTCAATTACTGGATCAGTGGACTGTAGGTCCCAGCCCTGGGACTGCAATTGACCCTAGCATCTCCATGGAGCAGTCTAATGCCAGTTCAACACATGTTACTCAATATGATCTGGAGGTACTCCTTGCTGGAAAAAGCGTAGCTTTGCTACAATGTCATATGACATGAGTGCACTTAGCATATGTTATTCTAGTTGAATGCACAGATGCACATGTTTGGAGTGCATTTAACTCATGCTAAGTATCCTGTGTGACACAGCCATCAGAAATGGCCTTTGCTACACAAGCAGAAGGGCCATGTAGGGGCTGCTAAACTAGGAAGAGAGAAGGCAGAGGGGCAGGCAGTGGAAACCCAATCTGCCTCTCCTGCAAGTGATGCCCTTAGTTTCCAATGTGGTTTGGTCCTATAGCCTCTCCCAGTGCCAGAGACGCTTCCTGGCCCCCAGCATGGAGTCTCCTCCAGGCCAACTGTGTGCCCTAACCCTACACACTCGCACCTGGTGCCAGGAGCCAGGATCAGCAAGAGAAACAACTGTAATGGAGAGTTATAGTGCCTTTTGGGGACTGAGTCTATTATTGAAAAGAAGGAGTCAGTGAGATGGGGGTTAGAACCGATGACTCTGACTTGAGTGAGGGACCCCTTCCCCAGGGTTATTTGTCACTATCTCACTCCAAGGCAGATCCCCTCCATTCAGTCCCCTGACCCCTCCCTCTCCTTGCAGCCCTGATGTATGCCAGCATCTTCGGCAATGTCTCAGCCATCATCCAGCGCCTGTACTCAGGCACAGCCCGCTACCACACCCAGATGCTGCGGGTGAAGGAGTTCATTCGCTTCCACCAGATCCCCAACCCACTGCGCCAGCGCCTGGAGGAGTATTTCCAGCACGCCTGGTCCTATACCAATGGCATTGATATGAATGCGGTAAGTGAGTGGGAAACAAAAGGGTGCTGCCCTCAGTGGCAGGCTGAGCTGTCACAAGCTTGATGTGGGACATGAGGTTGACATCTATCTAGACTTCAGCAAGGCCTTAGATACTGTTTCCCATGAGATTCTCTTGGAGGGTACTGGCCTTGACCAGTCTGCAGCAAAGTGGGTTTGCAACTGGCTCAGAAGCTGATCCCAGTGAGTTGCATTTGATGGAATGGCCTCATCCTGGAGGGCCATCTCTAGTGTTTGACACCCAGGGATCAGTGCTTGGGCCCATGCTCTTTAACACCTTTATCAACAACTTGGATGAGGGAGTGGAAAGCGCAATGATTAAGTTTGCAGATGACACCAAGCTGTGGGGAAATGCAGGTACATCTGAGGACAGGGTAAGGATCCAGGATGACCTTGACAGGCTGGTCCTGTGAGCTCAATGCAGTCAGATGAGGTTCAACAGAGAGAAGTGCCGGGTCCTTCATCTGGGTAGGAAGAAACTTCATCATAACTATATGATGAGTGGTGGTCCACTGGTTAACACAGCATCTGAAAGGGACCTGGGGGTGACAATCGACCAGAGGATGAATATGAGCCATCCATGCAATGAAGTCACCAGCAGGGCAAATAGAACTCAGGTGTGCATCAGCCAATGCGTTGCCAATAGATTGAGAGAGGTGATCCTCCCCCTCTATTCAGCGCTGGTCAGGCCACAGCTGGAGTACTGTGTCCAGTTCTGGGCACCACACTTCAAGAAGGATGTGGATAAGCTCGAGAGGGTACAGAAAAGGGCCACCCATATGATCAGGGGCCTGGAGGATAGGTCCTGTGAGGAGAGACTGGGAACTAGGTTTGTTCAGTCTGAGTAAGAGAAGACTGATAGGTGACTTGATAGCTGCCTACAAGTATGTCGGGGCAAACACCCAAGATCTAGGGGAGCAACTCTTCAGAAAGGCACACCTTGGGAGGGCAAGGTCCAATGGGCACAAGCTAGTTGAGGAAAAATTTAGGCTGGACATAAGAAAAAACTTATTTTCTGTAAGGGTATCTAGAATCTGGAATACATTCCCAGCAGAGGTGGTGCAGTTGCCATCCCTGGAGGTGTTCAAGGGGAGGCTGGACAAGCACCTCGTTAAGCTCGTTTGAGCCCAATTACCTCCTGCCCATGACGGGATGGACTTGATGATCTTACAGGTCCCATCTGGTTCTACTATTCTATGATTCTAAGCAGGGGTTTGCAGCTAGGTCCTGCTGAGCCCTCACAGCATTGCTGACATGACTGTAAGGAGCAGAGCTGGCCTTGTGGAAAATGGTGCCCTAGGCAAACTTGCACAGGACTGCAGGAAGGGCAAGCGGACAGGCAACAGGCAGGGCTGCCCTTAAAGGAAGCCCAGCCCCAGCAGCAGGGTGCTGCCACCCAGAGCTGCCCATGCCCATGCCTTTGGCAGTGTTGGTGGTGGCTGCAGCTCAGCTCAGCTCAGCCTTCAGCCCCAGCAGGTCAGTGATGGTGAAGCCCTTGGCACACAAACTGGGGTACCCAGTCACAGTGTCTTCTCACTAGGCACCACTGCCTTGCCCTGCCTGTCAGCGCCCACCACCAATGCTGCTGCCCAGGGGCTGTTTACACCACTGCTCCGGCTGGCTGGCTGCAAGCAGCTCCTGGCGGGACCAGGGAGGCAGGCCCCGCTGCTCAGCCCCCAGGATTAGTTGCCACTGAAGTCCCCCAATGGCTTCCAACCAGTGCAAGCAGCCGGGCAGAGACAGAGAGAGAGAGAGAGTGTGTGTGTGTGTGTGTGTGTGTGTGTGTGTGTGTGTGTGGTGCCCCCCTGACCACAGTGCCCTGGATGGTCACCCATGCCACCTACCCCTGGTAAGGAGGAAAACAGGAAGGAAGCTTAGGATTCAAGTTGCTTTGTGAAGGCTCCTGGCCCACGGACTGCCAGTGCCCTGGACAATGCTGAGCCCAACTCCTCGTCCCTTTGCACCAGGATCTTTCCATTCAGGTTGATGAAAGCAGGGAAAGACCTGAGCGTGTCAGTATTGCTTGGGTGTATGGCTGAAGTGTGTATGACATCAACATCTCTCTGTATGTTTTTTCACCTACTCATCCTTTCACCCCCACAGGGTGGGGAGACCAATCTCTGTTTTTCTGTCTCTGTAGACCACCCCCTTCCATACTCTCTCTCTCTCTCTCTCTCTCTCTCTCTCTCTCTCTCTCTCTCTCTCTCTCTCTCTCTCTCTCTCTGATGGTCAAGGAAGTCAGGAAGCCTGGGAGCCTGGGTACCAAGCTGATGCCTGTGTTTTGGAGCTGAGCTGAGAAGTTGGTTCAATGCTGGGTGTGAGGGGAAGACTCAATGAGCTTTAGTTCAAAGCACCCCACCAACATTTTTCAGCGCAGGGACGCTGATACACATGATAGTCCAGGCACTTTAATTAGCGTGGCTCTCAGAGCTGCACTAATTAAATCACCCCACCCCACCTCCCAGAGCACATCTATAAATACCTGGAGGTACTAAATTTTATGCACATTACCTAAAGTGCATTAATGAATGTGTAGACACACCCAGTGTAACTTAGATTAGTTTCCAAAGCAGATGTAAATTACATTGGTGTAAATGTGCCATGTGTCCAGGCCTTCAATGGACCCAGAGAGCCAAAGGTTAACATGATTCTATCACTCCACTACACCAAACAGTTAAATAGATTAAGGGATGCAAGGGCGAGGACCTCAGACTGATTTGTCTTCCAGTCACAACTATTCTTAAAAGTACTTTTCCCAAAGATACAGGAAAGGAAGGACAACCAGCAAAAGCCTGGAAAGCATTAACTGAGGCTTTCATTTTAATAATATCCTGTAATCCCTTTTTCTTTTACTTTAGAGTTTTTATATGGAAAATCCCTTGTGAGGCAGTCTTTCAGCCAGAATTGAAGATGGCATTAACTGTCCCTTTTAAGATAGAAAAGAAAAAGCTAGTGCAAGTGAACAGGAGGCAGTGTATAGAGCTGTTGCAGTTAAAGTCTGTTCCTGAAGACAAAACAAGATCCACACACGGGAAGGAGGGAAAGGAACAGCACAGATAGTGAAGGCAGCTGCCAACTCCTCCTGTGACCTCCCTGCTATGTAGTGTCATAGAAAATTAAGGTTGGAAGGGACCTCAGGAAGTCATCTAGTCCTCTCAAGGAGGGGTGACAGCAAAGTCAAGTCTCGCATCCTAGGCACTACTCAGAACTTGGCTGAGGCCAAGGAGATGGTGCTATCACCTGGGTGCCTGCTTCTGGTCCACTTAGGACCTCTCAGAATCAGGTTGAAGAAAGCCCAGCAGTTCCCTGGTGGGTCCCAGACAAGCACTGGGGCAGGGCACATGGGGCAGTGGCCCTAGGTTCCAGGTGCCTTGCTCCATGGGCTCTGCTTGCTGGAATAAGGCTTGAGAAAGCATTTGTTAAGTGATGAGACTGAATCACATTTAAAAACAAGAACATTGAAATGGAAAAGGGCATCTTCCCCTCACATTTTAAATTTCCACGTTGTTACAGGACAAAAACAAAGTTTAGAATGATGCCTAAAGCCTTTCCAAAGCCAAAGCATGTGTTTGATAAACTAAATATCAGTAAAGGACATCTGTCATTTTTATAGTGGCTAGGACAGTAAACTGACAGTAGCACCCAGGGAAGGGGTGAGGGGGCAAAAAAACCTCCTTTGCTCTGCATAGGTCCCTGCTTTCTCCTTCAGTTTTGCTTGCCGAGATACATTCAGCTCCTGTAACTCAAAAACTGAACTAAGGACAATGTAACCATGCCACCACCAGAGCTGCTGCAGCCCTTAATTTCAGTCAAGCTGTCCAGCAAAGATCTTTGTAGCAATTACCATTTTTTGGACTATGGCACTCTTTGCAAGCTCTGGATGCAGCTTTTCCAAGGTGAAACTGATAAAGAATTGCCTGAGATCAAACATGATCCAAGAATAACTTAAAGGTTTAAATCATCTCTCAACTGAGTATGAAATATCACAATGGCTTGATGTCCATCACTGACTGATGATTTTGCTGCAAGAAAGCCCAAGAAGTTTTGTTTCAATAAAATTGAAATTATCCCTTCAATACCTTAAGAGATGTTTTCAATAACACTAGCTTGTATTTTATTTCATTTGCAAATTAATCAATTAAAAACCTTCAGTTAATTTATTAACATACATTTGCACAGCGATGTTCTTAAAAGGAATATTAGTATTCTGTGTGGTTCCTTCTGACAGTAACAAACCACCAAAAGTCAGTGGTTTGGAGCTAGCGGACCTTGAACTTTACTTTAGATTCAGTCTTGCATTGTAAGCCAGGCCTGCCAGGAGCCCTTCCACCTGTCCTCAGCCCACTGTTCCCATCACCCCTGTGAAGGACTCCAAAGAATGAGGAGTAGAATACTTTATCTCCCTCACTCTTTGTTTATCACTTGGGCCTAATTTTCAACACCAGTTTGAGATGGTTAATTTTAATTTCCATTCTCTTGTTTACCATCCATGATCAAAACACAGTCCTTGAGTGGTATCAGCAGACCTTTTTGTTTGGGCTAACCCAGTCCTCGTCTTCAAATTTTGCTGACTTTTATGGATGTAGGAGTCTAAGTCTGACGTCTGTTACTTTGGGTAGCGTAAAGGAGAAGCCTGTGTACAAAGCATTCACATCTCTGTGATATTACTGCCGAAGACAGCTCAGATTGGACATCTGCATGAACAGTTAGAGATAAGCCCTACTCAGAAGGCCAAGTACAAACACCCCCAGCATTATAAATAGTCCGGTCCTGATCCACATTGTCTTCCTGGACTTTTTCATGATACTGAGCCAACCCAAGCCCCATCTCTGGGCTTCCCAAACATAGTGATTAGGCTCTGGTCTCTTAAACTTATTCTTATGTTTTCAAGCTGCACTCCAAATACCAACTAATCGACCACCTTGCCTGAGGTCAATATCACCACCTCTCTTTTAAAGATATGGGGAAACTGAAGCACAGAGGTCATATACTAGGTTAGGGCAAGTGTACAGTGGGTCCATGTTACAGCTAGGAGCTCTGCCGTGAAAAATGCCCCACCTGCTCCCTCTCACTCTGAGCATGCCAAAACCTAGAAATGAAGTGATGTACTTACTATCTTAAGGGAGCACTGAACTCTGGGATTCTAACTGGCATGTGCTTAGGTCTGGTCTGCCACCTTTCCAAAACCCGGTGCATGCTAAGCATGAGCAAGTTGGTGGGGCATGCTTCAGGGTGTCACTTCCAGACATGACATAGTAGGGAGGTGGACAGACCCTTAGAACACCATAGCCACGGACAAAACTGGGAGTTCCTACCTCTTAGCCATGTTTTGTGCCTACTTAGCCAGTGAGTAAACCAGGAATTTGCAGCTATCAGGGTCTGTACAACTGCTGGGTCGTAGGAGAAGCCTCCCCATTTACACTGTGCCCTCTGGCTGAGGAGAAGTAGGCAGAATCTTATAGTCTCACTGATTATAAGGACCTGATGGAACCAGGGACAGGAGGGAAGGCACTGTTCACTCTCTGCCCCATTCCCAGGCCCTCACTCCATTATAATTGAACTCTTCCCCCTCAGAAGCAGCTTCTGACCCTGTTGCATGACTGCCCTATGGTGACCCTTCCCCTTGTATACACAGCTCAAATGCATCAGAACATCTTACCCCGCTGACTAGCAGAATATCACGCTATTCTTGCACTGAGCAAAAGAGTGCACGTTTCATCACTACACCCTCCACCTGCTCCAGAAGTCGTTGGAAGCTTTCTTTAGGTTGCTATTTTTACCTTGTTTTCAGCATCTTCCTTTGCTGTTAAGAGATCCTGTTAAATGGGAAATATTTTCCGTTAGTGTCTGTATCAATTGACCATAGTATATTATGAATGACTCATTCTTGCTGCTTCTGGAAATTAATGTAGATAGAGTTTTGTTAAGACAAATAGCTCATTACCAATTTATGGTATGATTAAGTATAGCTACGTAGAATAGCATTCAAGAGGATGAATGTGTTGCCAACGGGCACATGCAGAATTAGAGTTGTTATTGATTGGTAATTCCAATAACAAGTAGGAGTCTCAGTGGAGGACTGTTGTGCCAAGCATAGTACAAACACAGAATGAAAAGACAGTCCCTTTCTTCAAAGTACTTGCCATCGGAAGATGTGCCAAGAGATCCATGCCCAGGTTGATACAGGTAGGAGTAAGGAAACAATACTGGTTGCCATGATGGGAAGAGGTTTCAGGACATCATTGCCCAACTGTTGAGATTTCTATGGTCATCCTAGCAAGGGTGGGTGGGAGAGAGATGATGCAAGACAAAGTCACTTGAAGGCTGTTTAAGGTAAGCTTCTGCCAATAATGATATGGTAATTGCTTCTCACAAGATTTTTGTGTTGTGCTTATACTCTGAGGTCGCAAAGAGGTTAGGATTGAGGTGATTTTCTTGGAATGCATTTTTTTTAAGCTTGATGGGCAGGTGTTTGTCTTGTGAGTGGTGTGAGATTTAAGGTGCCATGAACTAACCTTTCCTGGTTTTTAAATACTTGAATTGTATGAGGAAAGTAATAGGTAACAGATTGTCTCTAAGCAACCTTAGCTCTTCTCCAGACAACACTCTACAGCTGTGGATGGAACTCCTGTTTCATCATAACTGCTATCTGGCCAGGCCACCTGTCTCTGCCTATCAGACTGGTGGTAGGTCTCTTCCCCTGAGCTTGTTTTGTAATCATGACCTCCTTCTCCTCATACAGGTGCTGAAAGGCTTCCCTGACTGCCTACAAGCTGACATTTGTCTCCACCTGAACCGCACCCTCCTCCAAAACTGCAAAGCTTTCCGGGGGGCCAGCAAGGGCTGCCTCCGTGCCCTGGCCATGAAGTTCAAGACAACCCACGCACCTCCAGGAGACACTCTCGTGCATTATGGAGATGTCCTCACCACCCTCTACTTTATCTCCCGCGGCTCCATCGAGATCCTCAGGGAAGACATTGTGGTGGCCATCTTAGGTAGAAGAATCCTTCCTTCTGGGCAGGGGCAGGGGCAGGGGCAGGGGAATGCAAATATGAGGAGAGGAGAATAGATGTTTTGGGAAGAGAGGAGAGAATCACACCATTTTCCAGCATAGCCAAATTCTCACCTGTTAGGATGAGAGCCAAATCCTTCCTTGGGAAGACAGATATGTGGTTTGGCTTCCATTCTTCAGTTCAGGGCTTCTGCTTGCATCTGGTGTTCAGGACAAACATCTGTCAGGGCTGGGAAGAACCCCAGAGCTGGATGGATTCATGCTCTTTTTAGCCTTAGTCCTGCCCAGCTGTGCCTAGGCATGGATGAACTGGCTCAGATCAAATAGGAATCACCACAGGCCCAGCTTCCCAGCTTAATCCCAATTTAGAGCCCTCCAAGCATAGGCTGGTGAGGAAACTGGTTAGTTTCTGATAGTTCTTTATCCCCTGGTTGCTCCCAGAGTGCTGTCCCCAGCACTGTGGGGTCAGGCCAGGGAAGAGGCACTGGAATCATGAGAGAAGGCTGATCCCTGACTGAGGCAAGCAGCACCAGATATCTCCTTTCTCCTCATAGCCTTAGCTTTCCAGATCCTAGATTAGAGGTTCTGAGAACTGGGAGGAGTGCATGCATTTGATGGATGCCTCATCACACTGGGAGCAGAATGTCAGGATGCAGGTAACACATACAGAGGAGCATCTTTAGAGAGGCTGTTGGGCACAGGCAGACCCTGTGTTTCTCTCTGGACCTGTAGCATCTAGGCTAGTGTCATCACCAGTCTGCTACAGTTCTGGGCTAGGGTCAGCAGCCATGGGAGGGACTCTCCATTGCCAATCTGAAATGACCCTATGATATGTTTGGCTATTACACCCCTGGTGGCTCCTGCCCCACTCTGGCTCCTGGAGTGCCCTCTTTTTCTCTCACCTGCCATGCCTTGATGGAACTAGTTGATTCTGAAAAGGGAAGCTGCCCCAGGGTCCCAGAGTGAGTCCTTGCTATTCTGCAACCATTGGGGTCCCTCCTGGATCCAGCCAGTCCCTATCCTCTCCCTCAGATATTATGTGAGGCCCTCCTGGCCCCCATCCATGCTCCAGGACACCGGTTGCCTTAAGGGCTAGTTGTGGCCTCCTTCTGCCCCTACAGCTATGCCCAAGCCTTGCAGACGTTACTGGTTAATTAGTTACTGCAAATGGGCAGCTCACCCCCTATACAATGTCAGGCCTTCTCAGGCCTCCAAGCCCTTATTGAGGCCTTGGTCTTCCTCTCCTCCACCCCTTTTCTCTAGCTGGGCTCCTTTAGCCTAGGCTCACTGCACTGGGTCTCAGCTTATGGGATCCAGACCTGGTTCCACCCCTCAAACTCTGGGTCTCTGGCTCTGGCCTTTGCCCTCCCAGCTTCAAGTCATCACTATATTACTTTGCCTAACTCAAGCTTGTGCCCCCTTGACTTCCACCTGCCTGACTTGTGCCGAGCCCTGGCGGGACTCAAATACTCCCATGCCCCTCAGGCACTCCAATGACTGGAGCCCCTGGCCCTGGCAGGGCTCAATTGCTTGCCTCTCAGGCACCCTGTGGCTTAAACCTCAGTGTGCCCTCAGGCACCCCCACTATGGCATCCTCATCCTCCCTTTTAGCCACACCCAATTTGCCAGTATAACTTGAACACAAAAGGCAAGCAACCACTGAATAAAACTTTCCCTCCTGCTCAAGGTTAAACCAATACTTGGGTCTCTCAGGCAGCTCTTCCCTGCTGAGACCACAATCGCCTGGTTGCTCCCAGCCCTCTCCTTCTTCTCTCCAGGTGCTGGCTTTTAAGCTCATCAGAGTGGCCCCCTCAGATCAGGTGATTCTCTAACTAGAGGTGCACCGAGATATTGGTTGTGTACCAGACGGGCACCAATAAAAGGAAAGTTAACATTATCAGCTATCAGCTTCCTTTGGCCGATGTAGCTGATAATGTTCTCTGATAATTTCATTATGACAGGGCCCCGGATACCTAGGTTCCCTCCAATGAGCTGGGATGACCCCAAATATACCCCCAGCCCTTCACTGGGAAGCTTGTCTGGGCTGGAGCGGAGCAGCTGCCAGTGTCCCAGGCACTGGCACGGTGTGGCACAGACTGCAGGCTGGGGCCAGGGCAGGCACTGTAAAAGGTGCCAAATGCTGGAGATGTGACTGGGGTGGGGAGGGGCGGGTGGAGCTGCCTGGCCTGGCCTGGCCCGGCCCGGCCCGGCCCAGCCCAGCCCAGCATGACTCAACCTGAGCCCCAGGGGGTCGGGGGCAGAGCCTGGCAGGGGCTGAGGCAGCCACTCCCTCCTGCTGTGTGCAGCAAGGTCCTTCCCCCAGTGGGGAGCCTCTGGGAGTGGGGGGGCAGCACTTTAATTAGAGCCACTCTGATTGAAGTGTTGCTGTGTCTCCTGTATCAGCATCCCCATGCTTAGAAATGGCAGTGGGGGCACTTGAACTAAAGCTCGTTCAACAAGCTTTATTATTAAATATCAGTTATTGGATTGGTATCGGCCAATATGGCTGGTTATAATTGGCTATCAGTACTGGCCAAGAAAATCTTTATCAGTCAACCCCTACCTCTAACCCTGGCACAGCTTTCCCTCCTTAATTCTAATGGGCAGTTTATGACTGCCACTCTGGCTGCCCTAGTAATAGGCGCTCAAAGCTTATGTGTCCCTGGCTGCCTGTTCCCCTGCAGCCAGCCCATAATGAGCAGTCTTTCCCCACATGAAGACAGCCCTGTGGCTGCTTCTGTCTTAAAGTAGTGGGAGCCCTGGCTCCCTGTTATAGACCCACACAATGTTTGAAGGGTTATGCATCACTGGTGGTGACTTGCAAAGAATATGGGAGCATTACAGCACTCCACACCTAGAGAAGGACATGTTCAGCATTAGGGTATGTCTATACTGCAGTTGCTGCCACTCATGTAAATACAATTTTGTGCTAGCTGTAAACTTGCTAGCTTGGTGGCTGGCAGCAATGCAGTTGCAGTAGCATGGAGCTTATTGTGAGCTGCAAAACCCACCCAAGATCTGGGTGGTTACTTGGGTGGTTAGACCATAATGACCTTTGTGCTACAATGGCTATGCTGTTATTGGCACTGGAGCAGCTAGGTTAAAGCCAGCTCAGGTATGTCTCTGCTGCCAGAACCAGCAGTGTGGACATACACTCTCACCACCGAGAACTTACAGGGACCTTGGGGGGAGCTCTATAAAAGGGTCAGCTGTTCCAAATGTATGGGACATACCACAATGTATGAGTGGGAGGAGTGAAACAGTCAGGAGCAGGGATACAGCGGTGTGCAAAGAGCCAAGGAAAGTGAGGACACAGCTGGGGACACACTGTCTCACTCAACAGTCCTCTTGTTGAGTGAGACAGGACTTCAGAACACTTTCTGTGAAGCCCAAAAGCCCTATAGGCTTAGACTGGTCATTTGCCCTACAGTCTAATAATCCCCTCTCCATTGCACAGGGAAGAACGACATCTTTGGAGAGCCCATCAGCCTCTATGCCCGGCCTGGGAAATCCAACGCAGATGTGCGGGCACTGACCTACTGTGATTTGCATAAAATCCAGCGGGAGGACCTCCTGGAAGTCCTGGACATGTACCCTGCCTTTTCGGACAATTTCTGGAGCAACTTAGAGATAACTTTCAACCTGAGAGATGTGAGTATCAGACACAGGCATGGAGGGCTGAGGCTGCCCCTGCACATCACCTCCAACCGTTGGAAGGAGAGCAGCCATGGGACTTGAGTGACCTTGAAGGGAATGACACTGGGTGGCTCCAAATGAGAAGCTGTGTACATTTTCCACTCAAGTGTTTTGCATATTTGCTAAGCACCACAGGCTGTGTCTTTGAAAAGCTTTTTCATGTTGCAGCCACTCAAATCCCAAGTCAGTAAGCCTGGTTTTCAGAAGACCTCTGCATTCCTCAGAGGGGTCAGAGTATCATGAGAACCCAGCACACAGGTGCTTGCAAAGGGAAGATTTTTGTGAAAATCTACAGGTCATGCAGCCAAGGCCCTGCTGCAATTCTGCAGCTTTCCCAACACCCTTAAAATGCCCTCAAATTGATTTCAGCCTGCTGCGAGGTCTTCATGCTTCAGTGCTGTGGTAGCAAGGTGGTCTTGCTGTCACACAAGGTGGTGATGGGCTAAAGTGTTGGAGACATGACAGTGGCATAGCATGAATCATCGAGCCAAGACATTTTGCTGTTATTGGCACTGGAGCAGATCAGTATTATGTCATGGTAGAGTACTGTGTTGTCTTGCTGAAATGTGATCCTGTGTCAGCAGCAAGACTTAGTATTCTGATGTGACATGTTTCTCGTGATGTTTTGCTGTGACATGACATTGCATCATCATGACATAATGACAACTCGGAATATTTTGGCATGCTGCTGCTGTCATCATTGAAGGACAGTTTTTCACTTTGTGGTTTAACAGGATGACATAGCTTCCACCTGTTTGTTTTATATTGGGTCACACTATCACATACTGATGGGACAGTGATTTGTGTGGTGGCATGAGTGCATGCTCATGGGGTATCATGTTATTTTGATGTCATCACAACAACTACTTTGGACTGATTTGATTTGTGTCACATTGATACAACATGGTGATTGAAGATATCCTCACTTTTAGATGGCATTGCCATGACAAAGTCATTACACTGAGATGATATAATGGCAGGATGTCTTCATGCAGATGTCCTGACAGTGGTCCAAACCCAGTACAACAGTCCACATTTAGCCACATACTTTAGTCCTGTTAACTTCAAGCAACTACTCGGTCTATAAAATGGCTGAGAAAAAGGATATTCTGGTGTCTTCAGCTAATCACAAACAAGCTTACTCAAAGAATTAAAAAAAAAATCGTGTTTTATGAATAATCAGGCATGTTACCGACAGAAAACTGAGGGGTCATTTTTTCTTAAGTATTATTATTAAATCCTGCTCCTCAATCTGACTGGACACCACTGATTTTACGTTTCAGAGAAACCTGCCGGCTGGTTTGTGAGAGAGAGACCTTTGTCCACTGCCTCCACCTAAGTGATCTGAAACTGCTGAGGTCTCTCATGAATCTGAACTTACTTCAGCCTCAAGACTGTCCAGCCCAAGTCCCAGGTTTCCTTGGGACGTAGCCTGCTGTGGTGTCAATATATAGTCCCTGGGGCCAAAGCCTCTGGCTGGGGAAGGGAATTGAGGCAGTTATCTTCCCACAGAGGAGGCCCTGAAGAGAGACATCCTTAGTCCACCCTTTACTCAGGATGAGGAATGGGCTGAGGCTCAGCTGGGATAAAGCCCAGTCCCCTTCTGTTACCAAACTCTCTTCTTCCTCAGGCAGATAGCATTCCCCGCTCACCGCTCAGCGAGGAGTACGACTGCAACTACCGCCGTGTGCGCCGGCGCAGACACTCCCTCTGCAAACCCAATAAGACTGGTAAGTCCTGGCATCACTGTTCCCTGTCTTCCCCAGGATCTCAGTGTGGCCCACGCTGTGTTCCTCTACCCCATCCCATGTCTTCACTTCAACTGTTAGTCATGCCGTGACTGGGCTTCATGTAGAAGGTCCTGCCCTCAAAGGACATTTCTTTTGCCTGTTAGGCTGGTAGGGTGGCCATCATAGAGGACATTCAGGTTTTCTGCTACTCTGTCTTCTGTCCTGTATTGACACAAAACCAGATGCCTTTATGTCCTCTTCAAGAGAAAAATAGAGGACATAAAGGCATCCAGTTTTGTATCAATAGAGGACAGAGGACAACCAACTGTCCTCTATGATGGCCACCCTATAGATTGCAGTGGGACATCAGTCTCTGCCCAAGCCACCCCTGCTGTCACCAGCCTTTCCTATCCTCCTTCCCTCATGTTCTTGCTCTCCTTGGCTCCCTCCCCAAGCTCTGTAGTACCAGCTGTAACAGGATGCACAGTTCTCAGCTGGGCCAGGGCTGAGTCAGGAAAATATGGGGTCAGACACATGAAAGGCTCCAGAGCCAGTGTGGGATGGAGGGGGGAAACCTGCACTTCACCCCTGGCAGGATTGGGTCTGATCAGCTGAGTGCTCTGGTGCACTGAGGGGGGGCAGGGAAACCTTGTGCCTGGGAGAGGCCTGACCAGCTTTTTATCTGCTGCAGTTCTAGTAGGACCCAGGCCTCATCCTAAGAGGTGGAGCAGAGCAGTGACCTACCCGTGTTGGGCCCTCCCATATGAGCTGATGTCAGCTGGCCCATACGGTCTCCTCCCCATGAGGTGGAGCTAAGCACCAGCTGGACTATCCTGTCCTCCCTCTACAAGGCAACACTAAGTGCCATCTGATTCCACACAAACCTGGGCAGGTGCCCACCATCCCTTTTGTCCCAACCCCCATGAAGGGCTCCACAAGTTTCTTTTGTGGACCGTCATGCTGCTCAGCATTGTGATGGACATGGGGCCCAAGACAGGACCATGTTGACCTGTGCTTCCCCTTCTCCTCCCCTCACCCACAGATGCTGACGCTGGCATCTCAGATGCGGAGCAGTATCATACCTACTCTGAGCTCACCAACACCAAGAACACCCTCAGCAAGGAGCAGTGGGATGACCTGGGCAGCAGCACCACCCCCTGCTCCCAGACCAGTGATGATGAAGCCAAACCTGCCAGTCCCACGAAAGCTGAGCCCTTCCTCGCCTCTGAGAAGGATGATTTTGTCCCGCCTGTGCTCAGCTTCGTCACCACCAACAACAGGGGCACTGACATCAGCAGGCAGTCAGCAGATGGCAGCCAGTCTTACGCAGGTACCAGGACCCACAGCCTTTGGGGACATGGGTGAAACCCATGGGGTTTACGACTGGCAGCTATCAAGGCCCCAGTTATCGAGGCTCTGTGCACAGAGCTAGAGGGGCTGAAAAGCGCATGGACTCTGTTCCTCAGCCCCTTGGGGGCCAGGCAGTGTCTGTGGCTCAGGAGAAGGCCTGGGAGGAGGTAGTGTGGTGCCAGGCAGCTGAAGGAGAATTTCTGCCCTCCAGAAGATGGAATTGAGTCAGGCCTTGTGGGAGGAACAGCCCTGCTTCTGATGAAACTTGCCCTCTCTATGCAAAACCCAGCTCTCCCCTCCCTGGCATCCAGGTCCCTGGTAATAGCAGCATCACTTCATCTTCAACCTAAGGGGTCCCTGACAACGGGTTTCCTAGGGTCTCCTGCAAAACGGCCCTGAATCTGGTCCTAGTTCACTCATCCCCAGAAGACCACCCCCTTCTTCCCTTGAGTCTGGATGGGGTCCAGCTAAACTGCCACAATGAGTCTGCCTGCTTCCTGCAAATAGGATAGAAATCTTATGCTGGTGCAGTGTCCCCACCTGGCAGCACATGTGCTCCCCCTCCCTTCGTATCATAGGGTTTTACCTGCTCCTGGTAATGCCAGTTCTGCACCTGGAACCACAGCTGGTGGGCACTTCTGCTATCCACAGGGCTGGAGTCAATGCATGCCCTCTTGCTGGCAGGCATCATGCTCTGCTGGTGTGCGTACAGCAGCCTAAGCCTAGGCAGGGGCCCATCAGTGTGATAGAAGAAGGGGAGGGGCCTGCAGGAGAGTAAGCACATTAGGGAAGCAGAATGGGTGCCCTGGGAGGACATATTGTGTTTTGCCTGAGCACAGCTGCAGATTCTCCTCTCTCTCCAGCCACCCCCTTGGACATCCCCAGTATGTTCACCTTCTGGGAGGACAGAAAGCCAAACCTCCACCCAGAACCCTTGCAACACTTGTCCCTGGTCCACAATTCCCAGGACCTTCCTCTGCACATTGACTACCGGCCAGGCCAGATTGAGTCCAGGCTGGAGCTCCTGCAAGCCCAGATCAGCAGGTAAGTACTGGCCCAGGGCTCCAAACCTGGGTTCCTACAGCCCTCTGTTGGGCACACTACCCTGGTTGCATGCAGGGATCTGTCTCCTGGAAGACTTTTCCAACCTGCTGCAAGTGCAGCTCCCTAGAAATTCTGCAATGCAGCACAGGTGCCCCCTGCTGGCTCTTTTGGTCATTGCAGTCCCATGCTCTGAAAGAAATGTAGAAGCAGAGGGACCTTGGGGATTATCTAACACAACCCCCTGCAGGCCAAGGACTTGCAGCTCCCCAAACTTAGCTGCTCTTAAACCATCTCATCCCCCTGCTGCAATTATTGTCAGCAACAGCTGCATTCGTACTTCCTCAGCAAGAACCAGACTGATTTAATTACACAGGATGAGGAACCAGACCCTCCCCATGGATAAATGCCACAGTTCACTTATCTGAAGAGCTGCGATCTGGTTGGCCTTGGCCCAAGCCAGTCCCCAGCTGAAGTGCTGCAGTCCCAAGGATGGACGGTTGCAGCCGGGTTTGAGCACGTAGCAGGGTGACCTGGTTTTCAGCAGAGGCCCTTCACTTCACAGGAAGCTGTGCATGCTCAGAACCTCTAGAAACTGAGATGCTTCAATCTTTGTGCCCAGATCCAGAAGTAGGGAGTCCAGCTTTAGGCCCAGGAATGATTGGGCCTCGGTTTTTCATGTGTCTTTACTAATGTTAAGTGCAACACTTGGAGTAGAGTGCCCCCTGGTGCCTCCATTGATAATCAGGTCAGCTTCTTAGTTCAGGTCATTATGGGGTCTCATTTCAGTTGGAGCCTCCATGTGCAGCTGCAGTAGAAATGATGACATAAATCCTTAGAACAGGGGAACTGTTGTTGTGGGTCACACCAGAGGCCCTGTATCAAGCATCCTGTCTGCCTGTGGCCAGAGCCAAATACTTTGGACGAAGCTGGAAAACATCCCATGGCAGATAAACACTCTGCTCCCTAAAGGCCTCTTCCAACACCTTGACAGTTCAAGACTGAAGCAGGAGGTTTCATCTCCCTTCCGACAGCTCCTTTGTGAGCACTAACCCGTACAAGGCCAGGCTTTCCTGGATCTATATAAAGAATATCTTAGCAGGGAAGGGGAGAAGCACCTTACCCAAGCTGGATGGGGAAAGATTTAGCTTCTGCACTCTGTGAAGCCTTCAGGGTGGTAACAGCATCCCTGTCTTAATGATGCAGCCAACTAGTGCCTACCCAAGGGAGGAGGAGCTAAAACAGCTTTGGGAAATCAAAGCGCAAGCGAGGACACTTTGCTTGCCCCGTCCCACTTCTATCCTTGCACAGTCACATTGCCTCTACATTAACAAATCCCTGCAACCTGCCTGTGGTGGCCTGCCAAGGTCTTCTGACATTTTTCCTGATGAGAACCACCGTGATGAAAAGCCACACAAGCATCTCCGTGGTGTCCTGTGACCTAGGGCATCCTAATTCCATCTCATGGAGCCAGGGGTGCCTCTCTGCAGAGGTTTTGTCTGCCCTGCCATGAGTCCAGTCCAGTGTGATCTGTGGTCCTGCTTCCAAACTTCATGACACTTTTTCCCAGTTGAGTTGAGATGCCCCCTGCTTCCCTGGGGCTGCCAGAAGGAAACTGCTAACCCCACTTATTCTAAAAGTTGGACCCATGCTAATGCATGCTCATGCTGGTCTGCTCTGTCCCACAGGTTGGAATCCAGGATGTCTTCAGACATTAATATAATCCTTCAGATGCTGCAGCGCCAGCTGTCCCAAGTGCCACCTGCCTATAGCCCCATCTCGCCATCCTCCCATAATCTAGCCATGTATGGCATTGTTCCCAGGGGCATGGAGCCTGCTTCACCATGCACACCACTTCAGGAAGAGGATCTGACTCCTCCTGGGCAGGTAAACAGCCACAGATTGGGAAGTGAGCATTTTGACCTGTCATAGTGTCTCAGCACCTCACTCAGCTAAGCAAATCCAGCCCCAGCATGTCCTGACCATATTCCTCCTTGAAGCCCACCCATTCCCAAGCAGAGCCCAGGAGCCCTAGAGGAGACAAATCTGTTTCCATGGAGGTGAGGAAGGTCTCCTCTCCCAGCCAGCATTTGGATTATCAGGCCACAAAAGAGCTACTCTGCCCCCTACCTAGTAGGGCTGTGCAAAATGGCTGTGTATTGATTTGGTTTCAGAATCGGATGTTTTGGAGGACAGTGATTCATTTCGGAGTTTCAGATCACTGTCCTGTTTAATTTTGGCCAAATCTTCTCTGAATCTGTTTCGAACAGGCTGCAAGGGAAGCTTCGCACAGCCTTACCCAGCTGGATGGGGCTTCGGGCCGGGGGCTGCAGGGCCCCAGTGGGAAGCAGAATAGAGCCATGGGTGGTTCTTCCGGGGGCAGGCGGGGAGGGCTGCTGCCCTCCATGCAGGTGAGGAGACCCCCACACAGATCTCTGATCCCTGTCACACTGGGTTGTGGGGCAGGGAAGCAGCACAGAGCAGTGAGCAAGCCTGCTGGTCCCTGCTGCGAGACTCAGCTCTGCAGGGAGCAGAGATCCATACCGGGGTCTTCCTGCCATCGCTGCTTATCCCACGCTGCCTTGGTGACGTGGGGCTGCGTGGGGTGGGCAGCGGTGGCAAGGAGACCCCGGCACGGCTCTCTGCTCCCTGTGGAGCCAGGTCATGCAGCAGGGCACTGCTGGTCCCTGCTGTACAACCTGGCTCCACAGGGAGCAGAGATCTGGGGCTGCATGGGGCGGGCAGCAGCAGGGAGGAGAACCCGGCACGGATCTTTGCTCCCTGCAGAGCCAGGTTGTACAGCAGGGATTCACCAGCTCTGAGTTCAATTCCCCAACCCCTGGTTCAATTCCCCAACCCCTGGTTCAATTCCTCAGCTCTCTGATCATTCCCCCAGCTCTTCCTGGGGGGCACAGGCCCCCAATCTGCATGCAGATTTTCAGCAGGCTGCCACTGCAGGCTAAGGTCAGCAGCAGCACCATAGTCTTCTCAGCACAGGCTGCACCCAGTGGCTGCCATTGGCCCCAGCCTGCAGTGGCAGCTTGCTGAAACCCCGCGTGCAGACTGGGGGCCTGCACCCCCTGGGAAGAGTTGGGGGAAGCAATCAGAGAGCTGGGGAATTGAACCAGGAGCTAGATGTCAATATCAGAGCAGTCCTTCCCCTTCCTCCTCTTAGTTTTTGTTTCCCTGCAAGCCTGGCTCCAAAACTCCAAAATTCTCTGAAACATTTCCAAAACATTTTGGAGCCTTCTGATTCATTTTGGAGCTATTTCAGAGCCTTCCATGTTGATTCAGATTTGGTGTTTTGGGCACTGAAACAGCCCAAAACATCTCCAAAATGAAACAGCTGCCAAAATATCGCACAGACCTGCTACCCAGTCATTGCAGTAGTAACACAGTGGAAAGGATGGAGACTTGGCTTTCAAGCATGATCTTCTCCTCCTTCCCCTTTGGGACAGAGGTGGCTGGGCTGGAGCAGACCTCACACCCTCTTCTGCAAATGAACGATGAGGAGAACAATGAGAAGCCCCTCTTCTGCTATCTCCTTGCAGTGCAAGGAGGAGCTGGCTGAGAAGGCTACTGCCTCCCCACATCCATTGCTCCTTTTTGGGACCCCTGTATATCTGCTTCTCCTCTCCTCTGGCAGTCTGGGCCCTGCCAGTCAGCCCATGGCCACCTCAAAGCCCATCCTATCTCAAATCATCCCTTCTATCACATCATCCCTTCTGATCCAGCAACCTGGGGCCTGAGGTGGTTCAGCACCCAAGGGACTCAGGCCAGTTGATTTTCTAGAATGAGAAAACCTACTGACCTCCATGCCACTTCCTGGGGGCTACAGCAAAAACTAACAAGGGGGGCCCTTCTGAGCTCCACACGTGAATCATCTGCCCTGTCATGGCCTGAGGAAAGCAGTGGCTGGTGAAGCCATGCTGCTGTGATTCTGCTGAGTCAGTCCACCCCTGGGTGCCATATGTCACTCAGGCCATATGACTGACCCACTAGGCCCCTCTGTAAGGACTCTGAAACACCAGCCTCCTCCTTCCTGTCACAGGGGAGGCTTCCTCTATTCTGAGGTGTTCCTGTGAAAAGGCAAGAGGCTTATTCTCTTTGACCCTGGTGATACGAATGGAACAACAGCATGCGATCTCTCTGTGGGTCTTACACCTCCTTCCAGCCACAAGACCCTGGAGGCCTTCCTTTAATTTCATAACAAACCTCATTTCTCCTTTTGTTCATCTTCCTTCCCCAGAGCCCAAGCTATACAGAGATAGAAAAGTTTCACTTGAAATCCAGGGACTCCTTGTCAAGTGGGATACACCTGACTGTGGCATCCGATGAAACCATGACCATCAACTCTGAGCAGGAACACCATTCTCCCACCCTCCCCATCCCAGAGCCCCACCAGAGGGCACCAAGTACTCCAGGACTTTACCGGAGCATCCGTTTCCCTTCGCTCCCTGAGTATCTTGAGGCATCTTCTGAACACCTGGACATTCAGAGACACCTCTCTGACCCCCTGCTCCCTGGAAGTTAGAGACATGTGAGCTTCAAGCCAAGTCTAAAGGAACCTCAGCTAAGAACTCATGTAGCAGATATTGATTTTGACCATGGGGGTGAGAGGTGGAGGACCCAGTTATTGGCTCATGAGAACAATTTTTGACTGTTTTCTGCCATGAGGAGGAGAGTATAAAACGGGTGGCTTCAAAGACCATCATTCTCCCGCAGTTTATGTAGAGTAGATATCAACTGCACATCATAGAGTGAACCCAAAGCAGCTCATTCATAAAAAGCTGCTGGGCTGGTTGGGTCAGTAGGTACCCACTTTCTCTTCCTTGCCAAGGCATTCCCTGACATTGGTACAAATCCTGTTGACAGAACCAGACTAGGCCACAAGGATAGGAAGGCAAATCCTTGGCTGTCCACCAAGAGGACACCCTGCCATCAGTTCTCTTGAGCAGGGGCCATACCTGCCTTTGCATTTATACCACGCCTAGTGCAATGGGGCCTTTGTGATACCATAGCAGTACAGAAGGTACTCCATGGAGGGGAGAAGTGGGGAACTGACAATGACATATTGGGAGGAGCTAAAGGCTTAAAGTCCAAGGTATGAAGGGGCAGTTCTTGTCCCACCTAACTAACATTAAAGAACAGGGAGATGGTGGTCATCATCTCTCCATGTTGCCTCAGTGCAAGCTCCTGAGTGCAGGCTCCTGCAGCAAAGCTGATGGACCTAGAAGCTGGCCCAAAAATGCTTCCTCCAGCCTGCATCCAACTTTCACAAATCCCTGGCCCCTTTGCAGATGAACCCAACTGTTCCCTGGCTTGGGTGGAAAGCACAAAACTCATAAGCACAATCCTGGAAAGCAGATGAGGAAACCAGCCCCCAGGCACATTTTTGGCCCTTCCTTCAAAAAAGCCTCTTTTGATACAGATAGACGCTTTCCCTGAGGAATCCCTGTAGCTCCCTGTAGGAGGGCGCCCGACTGCCCCAGCCACCCTGCCACTTGGTTAGATGCTGTAATGGTCCTAGGCTGCCTGCTCAAATAACGTACTGAGCTCCCTGTGAGAGTAGCAAAACTGTGAGCATTTCTTTCTCTGAAGTTTTAGCATACACTTTGCTAATAAAGATGTTTTTGGCACCTAATGTGGAGCATGGTTGTATTTGTTCAGGGAGAAAGTGGAAGCTGTAAGCAGTGCCCCAAGTCTCCTCCATGGCTGGTGTCACTCCACATCCTGGCCTTAATCTACAAGGACCCAGAGATGTTTTATTTTCTACTATGAAAGCCACCATCATTGGGTATGCTAGGGCTAGTGGAGCATGCAGTATGCAGCTCCCACAGGATACAGCCTGTGGACTTTCACTGATGCAGTCCCTCCCAGCAAAATCAGAACATGGCTGGATCTTGCCATTTCTTAAGAACCGTATTAGCCAAAGCTTTGTCACAAGGACATACCTAGACACCCAGAATAATCCAACACAAGGGCTGTGGCCAGATGGAGAACTAAGCCATTTTAAAAGGGGGAGAGGGGACTTTCTAAGCAGTAGAATTCAGAGTTGAACCAACACAAGTATTTGGACTGCCAGTACAGTGGAGCTAAACTGCTGTGACTTTAGATCTGAATAACAATGTTCTGCTTCAAATAAACAGGCAAAACAATCACCATTAATGCGTTTTAATGCTGTGTCTGCACAACCCACACAAACAACACTACATAGGGTACAGTCATGATCCCTGGGAGGACATGAAACCACCTCTTCCTGCAGCAGAGGTACCTGAGCTGCTTGCTCCTCCCTTGCTTTGGTGACAACACCAGTAAACAAGCCTTGGGAGCTGTTGCGGGCTGGCTGGCCCTTTAAGAGAATATAGGACCATCTTCATCTGTCACATCTCTTTTCCTCCCAGATGATCAGCTGGAGTCCCAATGACCACCCTTCTGGAAAGAGGGATGGAGGCTTGCAAAACGTAATTACCCTGCCATGTTGCACTTAAAAAGGGTGCAAGTGCAGGCAGCAGCTCACAACAGCTGAGAGGGAGTGACTTAGCTCTGGAAGGGCTGGATGGATGCTGGAAAGCTGCAGAACTGCTCCAGAGGAAGGTGTGAGACTGAGAAAACAGCCCTGGGAGCTGGCACTGGAGAAGCACAAACCAGAAAGGGGATTAAAAATTTTGTGCCTGAGCTGGGTGGAAGTTGATTTGCGTGTGTCCTGGGCTAATGGAGTATCTTTTCATGAGACAGGGGAAGCCCCACTGCCTGCTCAGGAGAGGGTGTGATGCTGAAGAGGAGCCCCCAGTGTGTGTTGGTCACTGCTACTTTGTTGGATATGATTGTCTGGAGCATCAGTACCCCAGTAAGGGTGTGTCATATCTGGGGGGCCAAGTCATCACTGTCCCAGACCACTGAAATGCTGTCTCTCGCTTTGGTTTTTGTGCTCTAGGATGGTGGTGCTGACCAAGTCCTAGTGCAGGGACCAGCTGCTTTCTGCTGCTCTAGATCATTCTTCCAAAGCTGCTTCTGCTGCAAACCAGCCCTTGGGGAAGCAGAGCAATAAACCCTGCCAGTTACTAGAGATACCCAGGCAAGGGGGGAATCATTCTTTGCCTCTGGACATTTGTAGGCACTGGAAATTTCAGTGGAGAAGCTGGAGCAGACCTGCAAAGGGTGAAAAGAATTAGGTTCCCAACTCCTCCCTTTATGGCTGGCAGCCCTGCTCAGCACTTTCAGCTCAATGTCATAGCTTGCGACACTTGTCCTAGCAGTTAAAAAATTATGCAAAGTTGGCCTCAGCTACAATTCCAGGCCTGGGACTCCAGTGAGAGAACAGACTCCTCAGAAGAAAGCCATGCTGTGGGATGCTTTGGGATAGTACCAAGGACCCCAAAAGCTCTGCCCAAACTCCCCCACTCCTCCAAGGGCTCAACTCTTATTGCTACGCAGGTGGCCCTGAGACCACAATGTTCAATAAATAAATAAAGCCCCATAGCAAACTGTTGTATCTAAAAATGGGGAGCAGTACTGGGAAGAGACTTTAAAATGCACAACAGTAATATAGAGAAGTCAATACCACTCACCTCCCAAAGGCTTAGCTGTGAAATATGGTTTTCTTTCTTTTGGCAAGTGGATTTAAAGGCTGGATACTTCCAAAGCAAATGTATGGGACAGCTGCACTCACAATGAGTCACCATCAGGGATCCTGGTTTTCTCTAATGTAAAAAAAACGCCCAATTTTTTAATTAAAAAAGTAACCCTGGATCCACATTTTTCCATGATTTAAATGAAACACCACATATATAAGTGTGTATATATATATAGTGATGTTTCATTTTAACCATGGAAAAATGTGGATTTGGGGTTACTTTTTTTAACCAAAAACTGGGGATTTTTTTAAATCAGAGAAAACCAGGATCCCTGGTCATCATATGACAGTCTGAACCCAGAGCAATGTCTAATATTATTCCAGGTGTCTGGGCCATGCTGACAGTGCAGACCATGTTAACCATGGCTTGGGCTTTGTCATCCTTTAGAGACTAGACCTCATTCAGAATTCAATTAATTTCCATACAAATAAATTGAGTTTTTCTGCCTCGGTCAGAGGAAGCTCATGCTTTTAAATCCGAAGTTTCCCCATTCAGCCTCCTAAGATGAGCCAGCCCAGACATCACTAAATAAAGGGAATGTGTGCACAGTGTATGGGAGACCTGATGGACCTGGACAATACTAGCTGTGTTCTATATTCTCTATTCTGACCTTCCCCAAAGCACTTTACAGGTGGCAAATATGCACCAGAATTCTTCCATTTCCCTCCCCCACCTCTCCAGCCCTCTAGTACTTACCAGCTCAGAGCGGCTGCTGCAGCCACCAGGGACTGCCCAAATCATTCAAGCTCTCCAAATCTTTGCCAAAGATTCAGAGAGCTTTGAATCAATTTGGACCTTTAAATTGGTCCCCTGATTCGATTCAGATTCGGAGATTGGGCCACCGAATCGGGCCGAATCTCCTCTGAATTGAATCACCACCCGAAACTTCGCACAGCCCTACTCACCAGGTCATCTAGTGCTTAAGGCAGGATCATTCCTGACTAAGCCATCTCAGCCAAGTGCCTGTCTAACTTGCTCTTGAAAACTTGCAAAAATGGAGATACCAGAATTTCTCATGGAAATTTCTCATGGTCTTATGACAGCCTCATAATCAGATAGTTCCTCCTAATCTCCAACCTAAATTTTCTCTGCTGCAGCTTGGCAGCTTGCAGCCATTGCTTCTAGTCTTGTTCCCTACAGTCACAGAGAAAAGTACATTTCTATCCTTTGTAATCACACTTCAGGTGTTTGAAGACTGTTATCAAATCT